CCTCCTTCTACCATGGATGAGGCGAATATGTACTTGCCTGTTTGGGCTTCAAGATGTGTTTACCTCTTGGGAACAAATAAAAGAAAGCGTTGCTTCTCGCTCTTCATCGACCAGTCATCATTCTATTTCATCTACACCCTTCTCAGAGGAAAACATGAATATACTCAAGCAGTCTGTGCTTGAATATGTTTCTTTTATGGATCTGAATATCAATAAGGCCAGTGCTTCCAAACAGAAAGAGAAATTTGATCTTCTAAGTGAGAAAATGGCCAAAGCACTTGAGCTTCCTTCGCTTAAAGTCTCATCTGATATTAGACTAACGTTGGAGATCATCCATTTAGAGATAAATTCTTTGCTGGCCAAAAATATAGAATTGAAGGCCAAGAAGACTCAGTATATTCGTGCTATAGCTGAAAATGAGTCTTTGTTTGAAGAAATCGAGAAGACAGAGCAATTTACGTGAGATTTCTACTGAAGTTATGGTTGAAGATTCGATGATAGTGAGTCTGGTTGCAGAGATGAAGGCGCTTCAAGCAAGGATGGATGACTGTATGGTCAGATTGACTACTAAAAGGCGTAATGCTTCTCAAGAGTTTGAGCAAAGTAAATCCTTGCTCGAGGGTTACTCCAAGTTGGAAGTTGATGATGGGATGATGGTTGAACTATCCACTGCTTCTGATGAGCAAAATGGAGAATAGGAGAAGCTTAGACAACAAATGCGCTCCACCTGGGGTAAATTGTAATTAAGATATTTGATGTCTTAACTTTCCTTTTGTAATTTCGCACTGGCTGCTGTTGCTAATTTTGAATGTAACGGCAGCCATCTTCATTAATGAACGACTGTTTTATTTACTTGTGCATTAATTGACGTTTTCCTGAATCGTCAACCCCCCAAGCATTTATTCACCTTATGTTAAAACTCATTTACATTCTTCCTCGGTATTCTCATCTCTTTTTCCAAGATTTTGGGCCATTTAATTTCAGTTACTATGCACGTATGTGGCCGTTCATATTCCGTCATTTCATCTTCACGCCCCTATAAACGCGTGTATATTTCGCACTTATCATCTTCATTTCCATTCTTTCCTTTCAAAAACTAACGTGCTGCCATCATTTGGCATCTTGTACAATCGATCAAACACTTCCCTCTTCAATAGAAATGGACCAATCAATCTATCCATTTTGCTATCTGTCTTGAAGTAGCTTTTGGTATGGGATATATATGAAATGTTCTGTGGCCAATAAAGGTCTTCTCGACGCCTCTATGTTCTCCAATAGGAATTCAGTGATAGAAGGCGATTTGAGGATGACTTTCAAGCCATTTAGCTTGCTGAGAGTGCTTCTTAGCCTCCTTACCTGTTATTGCAGCAATGCAATTGGGAAGGTGGTTTGAGAGTGTTTTTCAGCATTTTTACCTGTTGAGAATACTTCTCAGCCTCTCTGCCTGCTATTGCAGCAGTGCGATCAGGATGGCGATCAAGTCTAGTTCACCCTCTTACTGGCGATCTACCGAAGGAATATTCTGCTCCCAATTGTAGCTTATAGAGCATTTAGTACTTTGTATCTCGCAATTTGTAATGAGTATTTGATAATAAAGGAATTTATTTGAACGTACTTCATTCTTGTCTTATTTATTTACAATCGCTCAGTGTCATTATATTGATTATGCTTTTATTTGTTCACTTTCTCATAAAGAAGGAACATACTTTTTCAAGAATTTTCCATTAATGAATCTCACGTGCTTGGTGACATCTAAATCTTCTAAATGATAGGCTCCATTAGAAAACACAATGTTTACTTTATATGGTCCTTCCTAATTGGGCGACCACTTGCCATACTTTGGATCTTTGCTAGCCAAATGGTGTATTGTTTTCCAAACCAATTCGTCCAGACTAAAAGACTTGGCTATAACTTTTTTATTGTAAAACTTAGCCATTCTTTGTTTTTGAACTTGCAATCTATCTAGGACATCCAATTTTAATTCGTCCAACTCCAATAAGTTTTGAACTAGTGACTCAGC